GAGGCTGGACAAGGGCTCCAGGGGGACACAGTCCCAGTGACATTGTTGACCACCAAATACAACTATACCTGAACTTGATCACCCCAAACTTCCCAAACACTTGAACCAAGAAATTCATTTTTAGCCTTCCCCTTTCCCCTTTACCAGATTCTGTAGCCAGCAAATGCTGGCACTGGTGGCAAAGTGGTCCTGTCCTATCTGCTAGCCTGGGCCAAAACACTCTTAGCAGCCCCTGGAGCTATAACTGCTGTCATTTGTCTGGGCAGGAGTCTTCCTGGGGATAGTGGTGGTGGTGGTGTTGGGTGGTGATGACGGTGATGATACTGGTGTGTGAGTGGCAGAGCTGATGGCACTAGAAGTGGTGGTTAAGTGGTGTGCAGGTGGAGATGATGATGCCATGGTTAGAGCTTGATGGAGAGGACAGCAGTAGTGATGATGACAGTGATGGGAGTGGTGGAGATGGTAGAGGGTCAAGATGATGATGGTATTGATAGTGATGGGGTGGTGTAGATGGAGGATTGATTATTAGTATATTGAGTGTTTATTAATTGTATATTGAGTATTTGTTATTATATATATTATTGGTATATTGAGTATTTATTGTTGGTGGTGACATGGTGGGTGGGGCGATGGTGATGATGGTGGGGTAGGTGATGGAAATGATTGTAGTGATGGGGCAGTAGAGATGGTGGAGATGATGGTGGTGAGAGTGGGGTGAGTGATGGAGATGATCACAGTGATGATGCCAGGAATGGTGGAGATGATGGTGGGGGTGGAGGAGTGATGGAGATGATCCTGGTAACGTTGGGGGTAGTGGAGATGATTTTGGGTGGGGTGGTGGGGATGATCGTGGTGATGTTGGCCATGTTGGAGATGACGGTGGTGGAGGGGTGACGTAGATGATGGTGGGGGTGGTGGAAGGATGGGGTGATCATAGTGATGCCAGGGATAGTGGAGATGGTGGAGGGGTGGTGTAGATGGTGGGGTGTAGTGATGGTGATGACTATGGTGCTGATGAAGACGATGCCGTGGGTGGTGGCGATGGTGGTGTGAATGGTAGCGGGATGGGGAGATGGTGCTGGCCTATGGGGGTGTCTTGTGTGCTGCAGGATGTTAAGCAGCACCCGTGGCCTCTTCCTGCAGATGCTGGGAGCCCCCGCAGCTGTCACAACCAAAACGTTTCCAGACACTGCCAAATACCCTCTGGGACAGAGCTGCATGTTTACACTAAAGACACATTAACTCTTGTGTTTGATTCAAAGCTTGCAGGGTGACCTGCCTGTTATCTGGCAACTGTTTTGAGGTAGACAAGTCGTCTTCTGTCCTTCATCAGAACTGCTGGGTTAGAATGAAACCCAAGAGTCTCCATGGCAACATCACTCAGTTCCCTCATGTTGCTTCAGCCTCCTTAGCACATCCCCCCTTTCTTCCAGCATCTCCCACTTCAGGGCTGGGGATGGGATATGCTCCCCCTACCTAGACACAGGCCAGCAGCTGTGAGGATGGCTCTGCAGGACAGCCAGCTCCCCACACCCCACCACAGCGAGCTGCAGCTTCCCCCACAGGACCCATCTCCCTCCAGGGGTCTCATCTGCCGCCCATGAGCCCCTGCTTTCTCCCCTCCAATTAAGAGGCCTCCTGGCAGCAGCCAGAGGCAGGAAAACAAGGCAGTTAGTCACTTAGCTTCCGTTATCAACCTGGATCACGTGGCTGGCTCTTTTAATGGCTGTTGTCTTGACAACGGGAAGCCAGTCCCTGCTTGCTCTGGGAACCAAAACAAAATTAAGGGGTGGTGGCAGGGAGGGGAAGGCAAGCCAGGAAGGAGTCAGCTCAGAGCTGGTGGGTCTTAGCCTGAGAAAGCAGCATCCCTCTGACAGTGACCCAGCCCCGGAGAAGCTCGGGTGAAGATGGAGGATGCTTACACATAGCTTTTCTGTCCACTGAGTCATTTTCATCCCTATTATGACAAAATGGACACCCAGACACTGGAAAAGATAAAGACAGATGCTTCTGGGAGACTGTGATTGACAAGCCATTGCAATGCCACATCCTGCAAACTTGTAGTTGTTTTTTGTTCAAATGCCTAGGGCCTTGCTATGGTCTTGTTATACCAAGACCTCATGCACCGTCTGCAATCCTTTTTTATTTCACTGATGGGTCTCCCAGGGTCTGTCTCCTCCAGAAGAATGTCTCCCCAGGAAGCCAGGAAACCCTTGTCCTGGTCACTGCTGTGGCTACACACCCTCTGTAGTGATGAATCCCGGACTCGACTCCAGCTCTTGTTGGAACTCAGGACTCCTTTCTGACCCACATGATTGGTGTTGGGTCCTGACAGCTCCCCAGGCCGGACAGAGCTCCCAGCCCCACAGGCTCTGTGGGTGGCTGGAAGATGGCACTGCAGGCTTGTACAGCTGTCTGGCTATCTAGGAAAGTCCTCTGTCACCTCTTCCAGGAGGAAGAGGGAGACTGGCACACAAAGTGTGTGGCTCTTCTGAACCCAGAAGAATAGAGGCAGGGAAGACCTGATATGATTATCAGGTATTTTTAGGCAAATACCTCCCTATCCCTCTAGAGCTGGAAGGTGGGCAAAGGAAGGTGTGGTCAGAGAGGTGAACTTAGAGGACGAACTTGAGAGCTCAAAGATGGCAGCCGTCCCCAGATCCCTGGCACTGGATCTGTACCCTTTAAACATGGCCCCCTGCTTCTGGCCACACTATACTCAGTAGGGTAATGGGAATCATGTCACCTCTGTTCCTCAAGAGCTTGGATGACCTGGGTGATTATCCTAACTGGGATTATCCTTCTTGACTGGGTGCTGTTAGAAGCCACTTCCTTATTGTGAGCCCCAGTTCTGCAGATGCTGTTTTTATGAGGTTGCTATATCTGCAGGGCACAGCACATAAAAGCCCCCAAAAGAAGCTCAGATCCCCCGAGTGACTGTCCCTATAGTGACTGTCCTCCGTAAGTCAGATTTAGAAACTGAGTAGTCTATAACTCTTAATCCTGTTCAATAAGCTGCAGAATAGGGCAATGGTCTATCCTTGCCTGTTTTGGGGTAAGAAGAGCCCACTCCACTCAGGCTTAAGTCAATAAGGCAGCTCACTACAAAGCTTGTGGTCCCCAGAATTGAGGAATCAAACAGACTTGTGGTCACAGGACAGCGGGCAACATCCCCACAGTTGTAGTAGGAGCACAAGCTAGACACGAGGACCAGACCTAGGACACCGGTGCCCCATATTTTCCTCTGCAGAGGGGGGAATGGACTCCTAGTGAGGAAAGGGGTAGCTTATGAAAGACTTTAAGGGAGCTAGTGGCACAGCTGGACTAGGGTGTCTCCTAATTTCCCCAGAGGCCTCACTCACCTGTTTACTATCGTTGCATCCCTTTTGTCAACTATTTTGCTAACAAAGGGGCAGGGTTCACCCCAGGCTCTAACAGCCAAGGAACATGCTTTCCATCCAGGTCTGGGTAAAACTGAGCTGCAATCTTCCTGCTTTTAATCAAGGGCTTTAAGACACCCCCCCCCAAAGGGTAGGAGTCGGAGATTGTGGGGTTGGGATCTGGATGGTATGCGCCTCACTTCTTTAAACAGATCTTTACAAAGATGGAGTTAAAAAAAACGTCTAGGCCTTTCAGAGGGACACCCCTCCCCTTCCCATCTATCTTACACACCACCTCATCTGAAAAATTCTAGAATCTGCAACCATTCCTGGAGCTGGTTCTTTAAACAAAAAGGAAAATGCTACACACAGAGACACACCCACGAGCCCCAAGAGGAAGGCGAAGGCAACAGGTCCCAGCCTCCAGCTGCCCAGGTGGCTGCCACCAGGAAGGGAGGGCCTCCTGGGTGGCACGCCTAACGTACACACACATGCATCACACAGGTGTACACATAGGTGCGTGCTAGTGCACGCGTACGCGCACGCGCGCGCGTGCACACACACACACACACACACACACACACACACACACACACACACACACACACACACATGCTCAGGAAGCCAGGGACAGACTCCAGCCTGATTGATAAATTCATAGCCAAGCAAGGTCTTGGGGTAAGAACCCCAAGACGAAGATGAGGCAGTGGAGGAGGGGGGCAGGCTGAAGGATAGGGTGGAGACAAAGTGCGGAGAGCAACTCAACCTTACCCACCCACACAAATACACATGTGTAGACCCACAGGAACACAATACGTACATCATCCTTGGTGTCTCCAAGTAAGTGCACACGTCTTTTCCATACACATACACACGGCCACATGTCCTGGGCTACGCTCATTTACACCTACAGGCCCATAGGCAACTAAAGGCCACCTCAGTCTTCTAAACTCTCTCTACTCCCAGGGCCCTGGGAGGTCACACCTGGCCTCCTAACTGTCTCCCTCCTCCCTGAGGAGGCAGGCAGCCACTCCTGTCTGATTGTGTGCATGGTAGGCAAGCAAGCGAGGGCAGGTGCCCTATGACCCTCACAGGCTCTCCCGGCAGAGTTCTTGGCACCTAGAGGTGGCTCCAAGGACTGAGCATCTCCGGTGAGGTAGGGGGACAGTTTCATGGTTCAAAATTGCACCTCTTCCCTGCCCCGAAACCTGGTCTGCTTGGGGCTATTCCGCATCACCGACGTGGAGCCCCACACCACCCTACCCCACCCCAGGAGTGAGAATCATCCATCTGCTCCTCCACAAGGAAAGGTCCCACCTACAATCCTTCCGTTCCCACACCCAAAGGGTCTCACACCCTGAAACACCCCAGCCCTCCAGAGCACCCCTCCCCGACCCCTGCCTTGGTCAGCCATGCACAGACACCCGCCAGCCTGGTGACTGCCGTGGCCCTGTCACCCTGGGCTGGCTGCCCCTACCTCCTTCTTCACGGTGCGCAGCAGCCTCTGGCGGGTCTCGGCCTCTGCGGGACAAGCAGGGAAGCGCGATGAGCGGCGCAGAGGCCGTGGGGCCTGGCCGCCCTCCCGCCGCCCACCCGAGCTTACCTGCAGGGACCGAAGCCATGGCTCGTGCTGATCGGTGCCCGGTGCCGGGACGCGTCCCTGCTCCCTCGCCCTGCTGCAACCGCGAGGGGCGGGTCCTACGGGAGCTGAATGACAGCCCAGGACTTGGACGTCAGAACTCTCCCACATGCCCCGCCCTCGAGCGTCCAGCGCCGCCTGCTGGACAATATATAGCAGATAACATCCTCTCAGACCTCCTCCAAGACAGCATCCTCACCACAGCCTCCCTCCAGGGCATTAGTATCATCCCCTAGCCTCCTCCATGAAACACACCATCCTCATAGGCCTCCTCCAGGGCATCAGTACCATTCCGTGCCAAGTTGCCAAGGGTAGCCTAAGATGTGGCACTGTGGTCCACATCCGGTGTCTCTATCTATGCATATTTAAAATGGGGGCAAAGCCAGACATGGAGGCACACACCTATCATCCCGTCAATAGGGAGGCTGAGGCAGGGAGCTCAGCCTGGACTACATAGTCAGGGCTTGCCGCCATAAAACTCGATTCATCCTGTATAAAGTGGGTATAAGTTCTAGAATGATCTAATGATCAAGCGAGATATTTGGTATATAATTCTCAACATAGACCAGAGGAGAAAGTCTGGTAGCCATAAAAGGTACATGCTGCTTCATACTTTCCTCCTCCTCCCTTCTCCCCCTTCCCTTTTTAGACTCTGCTGAGATACAGTGGCTGAGGAGACCAGCCTCTTCAGTGGCTCCCTCCCTTATACTGGAACTAGGGTTCAGTCCTTTAGGTTTCTACTCCTACATAGAACTCCTGCCAGCCAGGATCTCCAGGGCTAGGTAGGGCAAAGGTTTGTTCCACACAGGACCTTCACCAGCCACCTCCTAAGTCCCCGACTGTGTTCTCCAGAATGCAAGTGAGGTCAACAAATATTTCCTGAGCACTTACAGTGTGCTGGTTCACAGGGTTGGGGGGCTGGAAGCAAAGGAGACTGACACATTGCTGTGGCACTGGGATAGCAGACAGTAAACCATCTGAGTGAGTGATAATGAGTCGGAAGGTTCTGGAGAGATATGGAGTACATATAGGAGAGCTACCAGTGAGTGGGGTTGTCACATGAAACAGGGAAGCTGTGATTTCTCACAGAGCAGAGAGGAAAAGGAAGAGGCTGGGGTACTGGGGGAAGAAGAGGGCCCCTGGGGTGAAGGAACAGCAAGATTAAAGACTCCGAAGTTGGGGTGTGCCTGCTGGATGACAGCCCGAAAAGGAGGTCAGTGGCACTGGATGGCAAAACAAGACAGACCGTGATATAACATGGGCAAAGGCCTGTTAGGCTCTTGGAGGCCGTATACTGAATTACCAATGTCTCCGCCCCCTTCTTCCCAGCTCCAACCTAGTCCTCTATTCAGAATAACTAGGGGAAAGCCCAGGGCTTGCAGCTACGGCCCCAGAGCTCTTTTTTATGTGTGGTGGTGAGGTTTCAGCCACAGCCCTCCCCTAACCCTCTCCAGTGAGGTGTGTTTGGTGCTTCCAGGATGCCAGAGAATGGGAAATAAGAACTCGACAAAAAAAAAATTATGATTGAAGACTTACTGCGTGCTGAGCTCTGGTTGCGTAAACTCACCTTACCCCCACCCTTACGCATCAAGAAAGCCAAGCCCAAACTCCCTCCTCTCTGATGACTGCGACTTGTGGCCTTGACATAACAGTAGCCAGCTCTCACCCTCTGCGAAGCTTGAGATACCTTAGGAGAGCTTCCTCGTAACCCAGAGACTTTACCCCAGGCTCCACTGTGCCTTTGGCGCCAGGCGCCTGTGTATGCAGCGCCCTTTAGAGACCAACATAGACATTGCATCCATGTTCTCATTATTCACAGCCCAGGAAGAATGGTAACAACAGCTGCAACTTGTTGATGAGGCCAGCGCTGTGTCGTGAACGCCACTCATGTTGTCTCAATCAAGAGGCCGACTGCAGGGCGAGGTGTTCTCAGTGCAGAGGAACCCTGGTTCGCTGGGGTGGGTAATCTAAGGGGCACACAGACAGGAATGTACCTGGTCAGGCATTCCTCGGAGCGTGCTGGCTAAGAGGGATCCTAGACTCCACAGGGAAGGGTAGCTGACCTGCCTTCCCTGGTGTGGGTGAGCCTTGTGCAAGCAGCTGGAGACCTGAAGGGGAGAAAATGGCAGAGGAAGGGGACCACCTCTCTGCAACCACTTAGGCAGGGACAAGTGACTTTTTTTTTTTGCATTGGATTTGAATCAGAATTTTGGCTCTTCATGGATGCCAGCTCGGCAGACACAGAGTGGAGCTGAGCCACCACCCTTACCGGATCTCCAGGTCACCAGCCCAGAAGTTGGACAACTCAGCGCCCATCCCTGTGTGAGCTGATGTTTACAACGAATCTCTCTTCATGTACATGCATGTACAACAGACACACGTGTGTGCACACATACAACCTGCCTCTGCATCCACACACTACCCACCTGTGAATTTAGCCAAATACGGATGGAAAAGAATTGACCATGGCCGCCTCTGTACTGAACACATTATTTGTTCAGTAATGGTTCACATAATGGTTTTTCATTATTATTTCTTACCTGGTACTGTCTGGCGTCTATCACATGCCATTTACACTGCTCTAAGTATTAGAGATCATGTAAGGAGGACAAGAGTATACAAGAGGATGTGTGTACAGTCTACACAAGTATGATGACAACCATACAAGGTATGGGAGTGCCCAAGGATTTGGTATTTATAAACACAACCAGACCCATTCTGTATGGATCCTGAAGGGTGGCTGCATATTTGTATGAGTATGTATTATGTGTATATGTGTATATTGCATGCACATACATGTAGAGATGTGTACATTTATATATGTGCACACACGTGCACCTCATCTGTTCTGTTTCCCTGGAGAAGACAGATTAATACAGCTATCACTCAATATTAATTCCCTTCTCCCTCTTCCTAAAAAAAGTCAAGTGTTGCCTTCTGTCTTGGACACCTGTCTCAAAGGAGGTGTGCCACTTCCCACCCTAGGCAGGTCCTGATTGGCCTAAGTCAGTCACCAGGTCCTGTTTCCTCTGCCAGTAGTTAGTCTATTCATTAGTTAATTTACCCATCTATTCATTTATTGTTTATTTACTTGTATGTCTTTTTATGTGTAAGGCTGCCTGTGGAAGTCAGAGGTTGATGTTAAATTTTCTCAACCTTTAAAAAATCATTTACCTTACTTTTTAATTAAAAAAGATATATTTATTCTATGTATATGGGTGTCTTGACTCTATATGTGTCTATATGGAATGACCTCCCAGAGGCCAGGGGAGGGGGTCAGGTCCCCAGGAGCTGGAGTTACAGACAGCTGTGAGCTGCCATGTGGGTACTGGGAATCAAACACAGGGTCCTATGGAAGAGCAGCCAGTGCTCTTAACCACTGAGCCATCTCTCCAGGTCCCTTCCCTTATTTTTGAGCCAGGCTCTCCCTTGGAACCTGAAGCTCACTGGCTGTCCAGCGAGCCCCAGAGATCCTCTGTCTCCTCCTCTGGGCCAGCAGAGAGGTCAAAGGCTCATGAGACCTCACCTGGCTTTTTATGTGCATGCTGAGGTCCTTCTCTTGAGCAGCAGGCACTTTACCCTGTGAGCCGGCTGCTCAGCCCCCATTGATTGGTTTAAACAGGAGCACGTGATGCCGTTCTGTCCAATGAGATGCAGGGGACGTTCCCTGCGTACCTTCTCAGGGTGCCACCTTGTTTAAGCAGAAACGCCCGCAGATCACGGGGCTCAGTTTCAGGATGTCAGTACTTTCCGTACATCGTTCCCTGGCAGTCAGAGGGCGCATCTGGCACCAGGGCATGAGGAGTTCCTGGAAAATCAGAGTCGCTGCAGCATCCACCTCTGGATTTGCTAATGTTTTAGAAAACACACCACCTTCTGGTGAAGTCAAGGAGTTAGGGCTTTGTCTTCCTAGCAGTTAAAATAATCCCACTGACACAAATGAGCCACTCGAGATGCCCTTCTGTTTGCAAAAAGGTGAACTGGGCAGTTTGACCTCCTCCTCCCAACCCCCAGCCAAAGTTCAACATCAAGATGAACAAACACAGATGGTTGTAGATCATCTATGCTCATTCTTGTAGAAGGATGTGTTGTCTACTACGTTCTGGATGCTTCCTGACATCTCTGCTATGTTCTAGAAGGAAACGCTTAATCAGTTTTGCATCCTGAACAAGTTCAGAATGATCACAGAACTTGATAGCATGTATCAATTCCAGAAGCATTCCCACAGCAGACTCGTAAAGGTTAGTCTCAAGTTCAGACTGCAGGGGGCGCTGCTGAGCAGAGGACAGACCAGGGTCTGTGTAGTATTGCACTCTGGCCAGCTGCTGTACACAGGGATTCAACTTCTCTACACAAGTTTATTGTGTGTGAGTGCATCTGTGTGCACACACTCTTGCATATATGTGTGTGGTGTATGCATGGGATGCACACCCAATTGGACAGGCAGAAGCCAGGGAAGACTTTGGGTGGCCTGTTCCGTCACTTTCTGTTTTGTTCCCTAAAACAGATAATGGAGCTAGGCTGACAGGCAGCAAGCCCTCTTGAAGATCCTCCTGTCTCCATACTCCATGGTGCTGGACACACAGGCATGTGTGGGGCCCTGTTCTGGGGATTTGAACTCAGGTCCCAAAGTGAGCCAAGCTTGGCAGCCCTCAAGCTTGTTTATATTTTTCAGTCCTCCCAGTGGGAATGAAGTAGAAGCTCGCAGCTTCTGATTTTCATCCCCAGTGACAAAGGAGACTGGATGCTGCTTCAGACACTATCTGCCACTTGTGTAGCTTCTATCCATTTCTTAAAATCGGATTGTTGGTTTTTTTGTTCAGTTGTACAAATTCTTTATGTATACTGGGCACTGCTGTTATACATGGGATGTTTGGGATACCTCTATTTTATACTAGCCTGTTAAAAATACACAAACCTTAAATTTTTATGAAGTCTAATTTACTCATCCCCCGCCTTCACTTTTACTGACAGCTAAGAAAACAATCTCCAAACCTCGGCTATTTGATCCTATATTTTCTTTCACAGGTTTTATAATCTTAGCTTTTATCCAAATCCTTTGAGCTAATTTTACACATGGGGTGAAATGAGTCTGAGTGATTTCCCTATTGATACTCAGTTGTGTCATCACTGTGTGTGGAACCCATTGGCTCCCCAGTGAGCATCTTGGCCCAGTCTTACCACTCAGCAGTAGACTTTGCATATTCTGTCCTTGTAAATTT